GAAGCTCAAAAGTAGAAAAAAGAAGTGCCAAAATTTTACGGCAGGTGTGTTTTCGATTACAAATTAATCCAAACCCATCCCTCAACATTCCAACAAGTCAGTAAACATCTGACGACAACTCTAGGGTTTTTGTGAGGCTATCATTGCTTAAACCGCACGCTTCTGCATATTCAATCAGGACACGTAGACACCATGAATAAAAGTGCTCTCTTTTAAGAGAGCAACTTATATATATAAAGCGGGTTCATCTTTACATGACGTCTCAATTCAATATTATATTATCCTGTGAAAAAAAAAAAAAAAAAAAACTCGTATATAACAATATTATTGAATAGAGAACATGAAGTGTTGAACTCGTTTCATGTGAATCTTTCTTCTCTTTTAGAATTATAGCTCCTAAACCCGTAAAACTTTTGGATAAAAACCAAACAGCAGGGCAGAAAACCTTAACAAATACAGTGAACCAAATTTTCTTCGATGTCGTGAACAACCAAACATACCGGCAATCTAATTAATCCCCCTGGAGGCTATTGCATGATATAAATGTGGATGCTTCACCTTTAGTTTATTAAATTAATGTTTCATTTGGCTATATCTTATTCTTTATTACGTGACCCTTAAGCCAATTCAAAGCTGTAGAAATAAAGCACAAGATTTACACTTTTTATAATCGAAAATGTATTTTCTCAACATTTCGTGGAGTGTTCAAAATTCAAATAAATACGCAAGGTGTCAGCACATATGCATGTGAAAAGTGGATAACGTACATTTGCATGGTGACATGCATGAGCCGTCCCTTCGAGATAGCAAAGGGTTATACCATGCTATGATCAAGACACAAAACTTACACGATAGAAATATATTTGAATTCAAGAAAACTATTACCATTCTGAGCAAGTCTATCTAAATAGCAATAGCATCACTCTACATTATTGCAATGTTCTTATTAAGAGTGTGTATAATATTGTACTTGTATCCAAAACAACAATCCAGGCTATTTTTACATCTTCAATATAAAGTTCCAATACGATCAGTGATTGATTGGTATCAAGTACAATACTTTTGCATTTCTCTTAAAAAACATCAACAATGCATTATACGTGTTGTATATTGTTATATCTAGTACTAAACAAAAGTTTCCCACATACAAAGTTTAAAAAGATTCATGTGGGATTTTGAAGAATTTTAAAAGTATTATAAATTTTGATAAACCCTCGAGTTGAATTGCGGGGGATGTTGTCATCTTGACCGTTGTGGTAGTCCATGGAGCAACCTACTTGTGTCCCCAATTATGATTGACACATTTTTGCTGTACGAACATCATAATCAGAACCGTTTATTGTCTTTATCATCATCGAAAGATCATATCTGCAAAAACTCATTAAATTGGGAGTCTTTTTAGCAATTCATATGCATCAAACAAATAGACAGTTCATCATAAGGAAGCTACTTGTTACCAAAAACATTGATTGATTTGACATATATGGATGGCTAAACGATCTTCAAATCGAATATTTTTTTTAGATATGATCTTTCAATGATAATAAAGAGAATGAACAGTTCCAATAATAATATTTGTATGGTAAAGATGCGTAAATCATAAGTGAGGGACAAGTCGGTTCCCTATGGAGGACACAATCATTATTCGTTTTTAGGTGTATTTAATTAGAATTTTAAATGAGTCTATAAAAGTTCAGGAATATTCAGTCATAATGTTAAACAAGTTTATAGAACTCCATACAAATTCAGGTGTATTAATCAATTAAAATTTTAAAGGATTTTATAAAAGTCAACAGAAATCTGAGTTTATTCAGTGAGGATTTTAGAATAGTATATAAAAGTTTGAGTGTATTAATCAGTCATGATTTGATTTTAAAGAATATTAAAGTGATAAATTTTAGTAAATTTGAAGGGATTTCATAGAGTATTTAACCCTTAACAAATCATACTTCTGTAAAGTCCATTAAAAAACTCCATCAACTTCATAAATTGAAACTATTTTAAATCCATAAAAGTTGAACCGAATCTATTTTCATATATTATTTTAGACATGCAACGACTTACGCTGTAACATAAGGGATGCAATGCATGGCGCAGAAAGTCATAGAGTCCGACCAAGAGATCATTTCGTCTGAATCTCTCAATGTCCGAGAGCCCATACCTGAAGAGCCCTTCTACAAGACGACACAGTACGCAACAACCGCCGTCAATACCCTTCTCTTCCGCTGCCCATAAATACCAATGGAAATCCCATGACATTCTCACCAAATCATCATCACTTGAACACACCAATCCTTACATTTCTAGCTACAATTCTAAGTTTCCATTTTCCAACATCCCATCACATTGTTCGAAAATATTATCAGCCTCGAGTTAGGGTTTATCCTTCGTGACCCTCCTTTTAGTATTTGGTTCTTTTTGAAAGACGATTTGCTAGGTGTTTCTAGGCCTCGTGCCATCTTGTATCTCACCAAGAAATATATTACCAGCCTTTTACACCAAATTAAATAGTAAAAAGAAAGCATCAATGGCTTTAAAAGCACAGTTGTTGAGGTCATTTGTTGTTGTTTTTGTTGTTTCCTTCAGTACGACTTCATGTTCTGGTAGTAGTTTCCAGGAGGTCAACGCACTTCATAGTTACGTTGACCATGTTGATGATAGAGAGTCCGGCTATAATTCTAGGGCTTATCCTTCATACATGGACACCATTGAAGGTTTAAAGTTCATGGAATTGATCAGGCCAAGAACTCAGCTCTTCAGGTCTAGGAAGCTCGACACAATCACCGGTGGGATAGCAACATCATCAGCTCCGGCCAAAACCATTAGCGTCGACGATTTTGGAGCTAAAGGGAATGGTGCTGATGACACACAGGTAAACAACAGATGATGGGCTCATAGGCTTAATAATATTAGAATATTCATATGGTGATGCTAACTATAACAACATTTCTGGTCACATTTCTGTTTTATGAAAGATGTGTCCATAATGTTTGGTACAAATTAATAGTACTATTATTATTTGGACCGAACTCATTATTATTTATTGAGTAAATGTGATACAAATAACAACACTTAAGCGTTTAATTTGATTTAACCAAAAGTTTAAAGTTTATGTATAAATATATTATTGTTTAATTTTTACTTTTTTTTTATTTGGCATGTGTTGGTTTAGGCATTTGTGAAGGCATGGAAGGCAGCTTGTTCTTCCAGTGGAGCAATAGTTCTTGTGGTACCGCAGAAGAACTATCTTGTTAGACCAATTGAATTCTCAGGCCCATGCAAATCTCAACTTACAGTGCAGGTAATAATTAATTCGGATAATCTATGTAATTATCTTTAAATGTAATTCCGGACTATAAACTTTGACGATTATAATAATTAATATTGCTTAATATTTGGAAATTTTCAGATTTATGGAACAATAGAGGCACCAGAAGACCGACCAATCTACAAAGACATTGACCACTGGCTCCTCTTTGACAATGTCCAAAACTTGCTACTAGTTGGTCCTGGAACCATCAATGGCAATGGAAACATCTGGTGGAAAAACTCATGCAAAAGAAAACCTCAGGTACGTTCTAATTAAACAAAATAATTAGCTCTAACTAATACTAATCCTGTACTAATTACAATTTCTTTCATTGATTTACAGCCCCCTTGCGGTACACACGCCCCCACGGTATACATACGTACTCTAATCTGAATTTGTATGTGCATTTTAATTAACTAAGCACCATTAATTCTGGAACTAATTAAAATTTGTACATGCAATGTGCAGGCTGTGAGCTTCAACAGGTGCAATAACTTGGTGGTGAAGAATCTGAAGATCCAAGACGCACAACAAATGCATGTCAGATTCCAAAACTGCATCAACGTTCAAGCTTCCCGTCTCACGGTTACCGCACCGGAGGATAGCCCTAATACGGACGGAATTCATGTGACAAATACCCAGAACATCACTATCTCGAGCTCGGTTATAGGAACAGGTGCGACAAATAGTTCATGACGCTTTCAAAAGTCATCATTTTGGTCTTTCGCGTTTGATAAATGCATATGATCGATCAAACACATTAAGATAAAAAACTAAACCATATTATACATAAAATTAAGTTAATTAACAATCTAATGGTTTCTAATTTGTATTGTGAAGGTGATGACTGTATTTCTATTGTAAGTGGGTCCCAAAGAGTTCAAGCCACAGACATTACTTGTGGGCCAGGCCACGGAATCAGGTAATTTCCAACCCTAGTCTCCAAATTGTTCGACAAGTCATCCTAAATTCCTCTTGTCAACATATTATTAATGTTTTTTATGTTGAGAAAAGTACAGAATGACTTTTTATAGTGTCAATAACGGCTGATTAGTAAATATACCAATATATATTAAAGCCTGTTTTAATTTTGTGATCAGTATTGGTAGCTTGGGAGAAGACGGCTCAGAAGATCATGTTTCAGGGGTGTTTGTGAATGGAGCTAAGCTTTCAGGAACCTCCAATGGACTCCGGATCAAGACGTGGCAGGGAGGCTCAGGCAGTGCAACCAACATTGTTTTCCAGAATGTGCAAATGAACGATGTCACCAACCCCATCATCATCGACCAGAACTACTGTGACCACAAAACCAAAGATTGCAAACAACAGGTAATTAATTAATTTAACTACTTCTTACGCATTTCGTTAATTAGTCCCCGGACAAACCCTAATCACTCCTTGATCGTTTATTTCGTTGTGGCAGAAATCGGCGGTTCAAGTGAAAAACGTGTTGTACCAAAACATAAGAGGAACGAGTGCTTCCGGCGACGCGATAACGTTGATCTGCAGCCAAAGTGTTCCTTGTCAGGGGATCGCGCTGCAAAGTGTTCAACTGCAGAATGGAAGAGCTGAATGCAACAATGTTCAGCCTGCTTACAAAGGAGTTGTCTCCCCTAGATGTTAAAACCTAGGGTTCATAATTTAAGGGCTTTGTGAAATAGATTATGCAATTCTTGTACCAATTAGCACATAAATAATTGTTTCTGTAATTTTTATGTTTAATTTGGCATTGTACACAAACATATTCATAAAGAAAAAGATATTACTTTTATAGACTCGAGTTACAAATGACAATTTCATCAAGTTCAAATATTATGAACAACAGATGTGGATAAAAATATAAAACAAAAAAAGTTCGAGTCGGCTTGGCCCGACTAGCCTAACCCTAGCAACCTCTCTCCGAACGGACGGCCTTCCAACCAAGGTTTCTCCAGAGACTCCATAAGGCTCGCGCCAAAGATGATATGAAAATTTGGTATATTAAAGAATATACGAAAGTTACAACTATAGTATTAAGACAGCAATGGGAAAGAAATCTTTTTGCGTGCGAAGTGTATAAAATCGTTACTGTATTTTGGTTGCGGCCGGGATTCCTTGTATCTATATTTGTATCCGGCCGTATGACAGAGCCTGAGAATGGTTAACTCAACCAAATCCGAGATCGGATTTTCATTTTCATCATCTAAAGAGGAAGTATGTGGATGGGAGAGAAGTTTGAACTTGACAGAAATGAAAGGTGTGCACAAATGTAGGTGTGGCTATCTGAAGGGTTCAACGGGAGCAGACTCTTCGAGAGAGAGTGCAGCCTTGAAACATTCAGCAGCCTCTAATGAAGAAGATGGCGTACCCTGAGATTTGTACAGTAGACCAAGGTTATACCACGCAGAATGGTTCGTTCTATCAATACTTAGTGCATGCATCAGAAGGCTTCGGACAACTGTGTGAGAGTGGTGTGAGCTATCGCCAAGACGTCTGAGGACAGCAGCCATAGAGATCAAGCTTGGTACATGGGAGGGATCGATATCCAGAGCTTCTGAATAGGCTTTTAGAGATTCTTTATAGAGGCATTTCTTTTCATAAAGTAAACCTGCAAAATCCGCGAAGTTCCACATGATTAGCACAGCACAGCAGCAGAAGTTTCCGCAAACACAAATGTGCATAAATCCATCTATTTCTTTCTCAATTGTTAATGCTTTAAAACCAAGATAACAAATTATTTAGTGAGCAATCTAATCGTTCCTAGACAAGGAAAATAGAGCACTGTGATACATCAAGAAATTGACTGGAAGAAAAAGACCACAAGCCCGGTGATTGTCCGAATTTACCTGTGGCGTTGCATCTGTTGGCAGAGTAAGCACGCCTGGCTTTAGATTTGGAAAGACAAGCCTCCGCATCATGCCATTGTGAGAGATTTATATAAAAATATGCCAGATCATTCCATATTTCCAAGTCCAACCTTCCAGGTAAATTTCCAGTTCTCTGTCATTAACAAAAACAAAAGAAGATTAAATGCAGTGGAACAATATTATCTGAAATCTTATCAATGAATGCTGTCTAAGGCTAAGCTAACAAAAACTGTGTTTAGAAAACAGATGCATAATTATCCCAACGTTAATGTCAGTGTATCAAAAGAAAAGAATTTCATGACCAGACACTCGCATCCTAATCTGAGGACAAGATTTATACACCTACTTCTATTCCTTTCAATGAAAACAAAAGCTTCATCAAAATTTGTAACATGAATATGATATTTCAACTTAGCCTCTATTCCCTTTCCTGCTCTCATCACATCAAGGTCCCAGCATCCTAACTGGTTATAAAACCCTTAAAACTATCATTTGGTCAGAGGTTCACGAGTAGTAGTGACACAATCGGAATAATTTCAGTATCGAAAGTATATGAAAAAAATATTCACTCCCCAAACCGTTGTAGAGATAAAAAAAGGGAAACCCTATCTTTCAAATAGTTTGACTCTAAATGCGAAAAGTAATCAAACAATGTACCTCTGGAGGCTTCTTCCCGTAACCAAAGCTTTTATTCTGAACTTGAACAAAAGCGAGAAGCTGAGTATAGGTTGCAATTGCATTTTTGAACTGACCCTGCGCAATTTGAAGTTTGGCTTTGGTTCTCAGTAGTTCTCCTTGTTCCCATTTCCCTGTCTGATCCAAAGCAGCCTCTATGATCGTTTCAGCATCCACAAACCGTTTCTGAGCTGATAGTATTCTGCTCAACAACAACCAACCTTTAATATTACAACCACCTTCCAGCTTTAGCATTTTCTTTGCACAATCAAGTGCAGCATCCAACTTTCTCTGCTCGGCATATTCTAGGCTGAGATGGTAAAGAGCAATAGGGTCACTCATTGTTGTCATTCTCCCAGCAGTTTCCAAGGCCTGAAGTGCCTCATCCTGTCTTGTCACTCTCTCAAAATCAGCAACTGCTGATTTAGAATGCACAGAAAGTGATATGCCCAACAAACAAGTGGTGGTACTTTTCAAATGATCACATTTACCATCCAAACTTTCAAGGGCTCTGCGAGCAAATCCTACCCCTTCTTCTGCATGACTGGGACTGGGATTTTCCCCACATATCTTTGATGCCAATAACAAAGCTGGAAAACACATTGGATCCTCGCTCTTACTCAACAATTTCCTCAGTAGATCTAAGGCAACTGAATCCTCGCCTGCTCCATAGTAGCAGAGAGCTAGTTTGTAAAATATTTCTTTCCGATCCATAAACCCAGGGAGCAGTTCTTCAACTTGATTAGCTAAAGCCATGGTATCCCCTGCTACAGACAGAGCAAAAGAAAGATGGTCCAAGATTGATGGATCCCACTGAATTCTTCGAAGAGAAGCTTTTCTAAGTAGTATCATTAGCAGAAGAATAGCTTCTTCTAAACTGTTTTTGGGTACAAATGAACTGTCTATTTGGAAGCGTAGGTTTGGGGGGCTTCCTTCACACCCACTATACAGAAGCAAAACAGCAAAGTCCTTCTGAATCTTTGCAGTAGTTTCTACCTCAAGGTTCCAGTGATGGAGTAGAGCCTGTCGGTAAGACAAGATAGCTTCATGCGGACAATCAGACAATTTCCACAATTCTGGGAGCAACTCGACACTCTTGCTTATGATCTCCTGCAATTTACAGTCAGCGCCAAAGTTTTGAGGCAAGCCATCTGGAAATGAAGATTCAACAATGTCCAGAACAACTTTGCAAGACTGAGCAGCTTCTGCAAGAATAATTAAAAATATACATGAGCCATGCAATGATGGCCTAATTATCAACTTAAGTTCACAGATTCCATCATTCATTTTACCCGTCCTAAGTAAAACATTCAAGATAATGGTGAAGCATACCAGAATTTTGAACTGAATTGGAAACAACTAACAACATTACAAAATGTCTGGAAAAAAAAAAGATTCATGTTCTTACAAAATAAATACATACTAATTTTCAAAATGACGAAAATTTAAACACCTCACATGTGAGCGGGTTAAAATTAAATACATCCTCACAGCAACCAAGATTCTGCAAACAAGAATGAAAAATCTGTAAATCAGCTTAATACCTTTAAACCTCCCAAGAGCTTCCAATGATTTTGCTTTGAGAAATATTGCTTCCAGAAGTAAAGTGACAGCATTCATAGACAGTGGCGGCGTAGAAAAACTTTGAGAGCGCCTTTTACGACGCTCACCTCCTCTGGCAAGGGTGATTTTTATCTTCGGAGTCAATGCACCAATATCTATTCCTTCAAATACATGTAAAGCAGCTTCTATGTTTCCTTTCTGGTATTCGTATCTTCCTAATAGCGCTCTTGCTTCCTGAAAATTCAAATTTTAGCTTTAAGATAAACAAACAACTTGCAAGGTCACCATTAAAAAGGTTTGTATAACTACAGATAGGCAGGTTCTAGAGCAAACACACCTCATAGTTCAAACAACCACTCTCACGCAGAGATAATTCAGCTTCTTCTATATTGCCAGCATGCGGTTTCTTTGTAGCCTCCCCAGCTCGCAACAAAGACTCATGTAATTTATCATCCTTGGTTGCCAGGGATTCATTTTCTGCAGGAACCATTTCATCTGCCGCTCTTAATTGCTCTCCCGAACGGAAACACTTCATTACCTTTCCAAATTCCCACGAAGGTTTACCCCTCCTCCTTGTTTCACTACTACTCCTCCTCATAACACTTCACTTTGCTCCGATATCTTCAACCACCAGAACCACCATCAACAGTAACTCAGAAACTTTTATACGCAAAATCGAAACATGCCCGTTACAACAGTTAACTTATAACTATTTTTTTTAGTACAAAATTATCTATTAGATCATGATCAAATTCAGATAACCATCAATCACGCAATCAAACACTAAACCTCGAACTTTCGCGCATAATTATGAGAATCACAACGAACTAATACTGCATATAACTACATTTCCCACAGTGGAAAAAAAGAAACATGTTTACAAATCAAAATTAACAGAAAGAAAAATCTCCAACAACAATAAACACATAAATTCAGCAAAATTCAATACCAAGACCCTAACTTTATCGCTCGCCTAGCAAAAATACCAATCAAAGCAAAACCCCCATTAAAGCCCACTTCAAAAATTCCAACAGCCTCATCCAATTCCTGCCACCACCCACAAAAAACCTCAAAAAGCACCATCCAAAATCCGAAATTTCAAGATAAACTGCAAGCACCACAGCCAAAACGACAACCACAAACCCTAGAAACTGATAGAACAACCTTGAATTATGTAAAACCCCAATCAAAAAAGCAATCAATTAACCAATCAAGCAATCACCTTTTGTTTTTGCAAAGCAGAAAAGCAGAGGAGGCCAATGCATTAATCATCATACTACAACAATTTTTTCTTTCCAATTCCCTTTCTACCCTTCTGATCGCTTGCTTCGGAGTGTGATTTGGGGAGACGAGGGCATTGAATTTTTTGAATTGGAAGCGTGAGGTTGAAGATTGAAGATTGAAGATTCTGCTGAGGGGTTAAGAAATTGAGGGATTTGGAATAAAGAAATAAAAAAAAAGTTGGGGGTTTTGGGAAATTGGGAAATTCTTCGTCCTTTCGGGACCCGCCGGTGTAGAATCTATTTTACTTTTTACCAAGGTGGTTGAGGTTCGTTGTTCGCCACGTGGAAAAAACGGATGACGTTTTATAACCCGTAGTTGGCTTTACTCGTTGTCTTTAACTCGTATTGTCGAACGTATATTTAACTTGTATCATCCGCAATGTGATAATCGTGTTTGGATGTAAGGGTCCGTTTGGTGGGCCAGATATAATTGAGTTTTCAGAAAAGAAATAAATTTGCAGAGATTTATAAGAAAGGATTTTGACCGATATATAAAGATAAGTTAAATAACTTATTTTATTTTGAACTTATAAACAATCGTGTTTGATCATGCCTATGTCATATTTTAACCTAACAAACAACAAATTGAACTCAAGTACATTTTAATCGTCACGACCTATATCACACATCCCACCATATGGCGCCTAAATCTCACATAAGGAAGTCAAACCCTGCTTAATAATTTAATTACGAATTTTTATTTTGAAATTGAACTTTTCAATTAAAATAATTTTTTTTGAAGTGAAAATCAATTAATTTACCCTCTGAAAACGAGAGTTGCACTTCAATTTAGTCATTTTGTTACATTTTCGTTATTTATTCTGTTATTGTGTGCTGATGTGGCATAGTGTGGAACCCATAAGTTGAGAGACTTCTAGAGTGTTGGGAACATGGTCAGAAGTGTAATAATACAATTGATTTTAAAGTTGAAAAGAAAAAAAATAATTTCTAATAGATTATGTTATTACACTTATTGTCACTTCCCGGGCCCGCTCTACCACCGTAGTACGATATTGTCCGCTTTGGGCCTACCATTCCCTCACGGTTTTGTTTTTGGGAACTCACACGAGAACTTCTCGATGGGTCACCCATCCTGGGAGTGCTCTCGCGCGCTACTCACTTAACTTCGGAGTTCCAATGGAACTCGAAGCCAATGAGCTCTCAAAAGACCTCGTGCTAGGTAGGGATGGGAATATACATATAAGGATCACTCACCTGGGCGATGTGGGATGTCACAATCCACCCCCCTTAAGGGCTCGACGTCCTCGTCGGCACACACGCAGCAAAGGTTAGGCTCTGATACCAAATTGTCATATCTCGACCCGGGACGGATCACTTCCCGGGCCCACTCCACCACTGTAGCACGATATTTTCTATTTTGAGCTTACCATTCCCTCACGGTTTTGTTTTTGAGAACTCACGAGCAACTTCCTAGTGGGTCACCCATCATGGGATTGCTCTAACCCCCTTCTCGCTTAACTTTGGAGTTACTACGGAACCTGAAGCCAGTGAGCTTCTAAAAGGCCTTGTGCTAGGTAGGGATGGGAATATACATATAAGGATCACTCCCCTAGACGATGTGGGATGTCACACTTAATATACCCAATCATGTTCTATACACGAAAAAATTTCTCCACAAGTCTAAAAATATGATGCCAACTAGATCATATAAAAATAGTTAAATATTTTATATTTTTTTAATTCTAAATCTACAAAAACAAAATCAAAAAAAAAAAAAAAAAAAAAAAAAAAAAGAAGTTGTTGAAGCAATGTAGGCGCAATGAAGTTAGATCCAATTCAAATTAAATTGACACGTTCTTCCAAAAAAAAAAAAAAAAAAAAACAGTTGATAAAAGCAACAGCTACAGCAGCTCCATCTGCACATGCATCTCATAGCAATTCCATCGAGACTCCTAGCCCGATGGACCGGCAACTTTTGCAACCCAATAGTCAGAGCTGCAAGCTCCAGCTCATGTGGGCGTGTGGATGAGGGGGACCCGAGTGAGAGGTCCGATTCGAATCGGTGGCCCGAGAGCCCGAGTGCCAGGTGACGCCAAGTGATGTCAAAGCAACGTTAACCATAATATAAAATTAATTAAAAATGTAATAAATTAATTAAAAAAAAGTAATAAATTAATATATATATATATATATTTTTTTTTAAATGTAAAACCCAACAAGCTTCGAACTCAACGGCTCTCGTCGAAATTCATCACTAAGGTTGATGATACACCCACAGACAAATGTCAGAGACTAACCCTAAGGGTTTCAACTCAAAACACATAAAAAAACCGGAGAATAACTCAAGCAATTGAAATAGGGCAATAACCTCACCTATGTTTGAGCAATGGAAGCTTAAAACTCTCGGCTTCAATGGTGGATCACCCAAATGGTGCTCTGATGATGCATGCAAGGATATATTCGAGTTCATCTCATCCAGGGTATTGAGATTTCAGAGTTTGTTAATTTGATTTGCTTCGATTTCGAAGAAGAGGAAGGATGAGAGCTCTGGGAGTTGTAGAAAGAGAATGAGAGTGTCGAGAGATTAAAGAGAGAGAAAGGTTTCAGAAATGAGGGGGAAGGGTTGCGTTGGTAGAGAGAGAAAAAAAAATGTTAGGGAAATGAGAGAGAGGGTTAGGTGAGAGAACCAGTCAAAGTAAAGGAAATGATGGAGTATAAATATGATGGAGTAAAAAAATTAAAATTAAAAAAAAATTGATTTAATTTTTTCTATAAATTTGTTATCATTATCTTTCAGCTTACACCATAATTTTATATTTTCTCAAATACTTTGGGTTGTAATTTCTTATTGAATGACACATGGTACAACAAGACTGATTAAAAATTATATTCAAAATTACAAATAAAATTATTTTGTAAAATAAAAAATACTAATATTTTATTACCTATTGCTATGGCTATTCAGTTTAGGAGTGGAGATGCAAAAGGCAGTTACTATTCATTAAAGATAGTTACTGTTCATTGGAGGCTATTCAATAGTGAGTTGCCCTAGGGTCGTTTGCAACGCTGGAGTTGCTCACAATAGCAACAAAAAGCAGCAGTGCAACACCGGTAGTCTTTGATCTATCGTCTTCCATCGTCATCAACTCCGAAATCGAAGACAACCCATCACCACCACCACCTCAGCCGAAACCTTAATTGGCTGGCCTACCAACATGGAGTTTATGAGGATGCAGATGGCAGGTATTCTTTGAAAAGTGATGAATCTTTTGGGGAAAGACAAGAGAGGGTTGGGGGTTTTGGTGAAGCGGAGAGAGTTTTTGGAATGAAGAATGAAGGTTGGGAGTTCAAAGAACACAACTACATTTTGGCTCCCGGAACATATTGAGGAGAGCTTAGAGAGAGACACGGTGGCCGATTCAGGGAAGGAAGAAGATGAGCTCAAACTTTTTGTTTGTTTTTAATTTTTGTACAAATATTTGGTAAGGCGCAAAAGTAGCACTTTTGTTTTATTTTAAATAATTTTTTGACTTGTGGGCTCCACATGTAGCCACATCAACACACTAGCAGAGTAAATACGGAAAGGTAACGGAAGAACCAAATGGATGTGCGACCCTTATTTTTTAGGGACCAAATTGATCCATTTTCAATTTCATGGATAATTTTGATTATTAAAATGTTCAATTTCAGGGATCAAAGGTTATAAAAACCTGTGTAATCAATTATAGGTACTGTTTTAAACATCTCTGTCTAGCGCCGCATAGGCCTCACCTAGGCTAGGGGGTTTGTTACTGCCTTGATTGATCTTTAGGCGTTTGAAAATTAAGAAATAGCGTCTATACTTGCTTAGACGCATGCGCTACCCCGTCTACGTCATGGCTCTCACTTAGATAGAACATAGATAACTTTTATTTTGCATTTTAATTTTTTTTTTCACTGAATTGTGAGAGACTTGTTAAATATTTGGATGAACACTCATCATATGCTTGTTCCCATGTTTTCAATTTTTTCTAATACTTTGTAATTTGCATGTCATTCTACTTAGCAATTTACGTATCCCAATACAATTGTGTAACTTTATAAAGTATAAATAGACACTTATTTATACGATATATTAAATTTACTTAAATCCATCTAGACCTCATCTAGCCACCTAGGAGCTAGACCCTAACCTGAAGCACAACTAACATCCTTTAAAACCTTGATTATAAACATATTATTCTATTGCCAATTAATTTTAAGTTAAAAATCGCATTATAATACTGTGTAAGAATAAACGATATATGTGTTGAATCTAACCACCGCATGCCCTTACAGCACATAATATATGTTATCGACATTTTGAAATAAGGTAACAAGTGAGGAAGTTTGGTGATTGTATGAATTCCATCAACATGAAAACAATATATGTAACATCCCATATACTCATTACACATAAGTAGTAATCAGCTCAAATTTGAATTTTCAACAACGACATGTAGTGTTTGTTCCAAATCCTAACGACGACTTAACACTAATTTGACTTCTCAAGCACTATCAACTTCTTTTTTTTTAATTTGAGCAAGTGGTTTGCTACACCTCAATCAAAGAGGCGGGAATGCCTTATTAACTCGAGAGCTAGGAACGTGCTTAATGTGATCTCAACCTGAGGTGGTAATGAATTTATAGTCTCTTTGACCTAAATCTCTATACAACCAATCATTTTAATGTCATGCTTAATTACAAGTCCATGCTATAAACTTAAGACTATGGTTTTTTTCATTTTAAACCAAACTTATTTTTAGTCATTCGCTAAATGAAAATTTGCGAAAACCAACTACTTTTTAGTCTATTCATACTATTTCTCTCAAATGTGTTAGAAAAGATGTTATAAGTTCGAATCTTTTGGTCCTTTTTTTTTTTAATTAAAAAAAGTTCGAGTCAATAAATTAAAATAAAATCCTATTTACTATTACAGAGTAACCTAACCATTCATTATTTGTGTTACCATGACATATTTATTAATTTCAATTCAATTATGTTAAATTGTTAATATATCTCAAGTTCTAAGTCAAATAATACTTTTATGTGAAACTTTCTTAATGAATAATGTGACCATTTAGTAATCCAGTCTAGTGGTGTTTCTCTTCACTTATAAGTGAGAGATCTTAGGTTCGATTTTCACCAAAGGTGAATTTGAATCGCATTATTATTAGTCTATTGTGTGGCCTAACCCACTCGCTCAGTTCCTTAGTGTAGATAATATTGTTTATTCAAAAAAAAAAAAGTGAAACTGCATTAGGTCGCTGGTTCGAATCTAGTAGGTTGGATAAGTTTCGGTACATATAACTTTTTTGCATGTAGTCAAGTATCCTAGTGGATTGGATGTTAGTTTTTTACTTATACGTCCTGGATTTGAAACCCCCCATTTTTCTAAATCATTATAATAGTTTCGAACTTTTCTCCCTCCCCCTAATAATACTAAAATTTCAAATAGAATAAAAAAAATGTGAAACCTAATTATATTCCAAGTTGGACTAGCCCATTTCACAATTTTATATAAAAGCCACCGAAGGTGTATTAAGCAAGCATGGAATTGTGTGAGGCAAGAGCAAAAAGTCTAAACTTTAAGAGTGCATTGCACTTAAAAAAAGTCACAGCAAAATTTATTTTCTTCTGCAACAACTCTGCACCTAAGATTTTGTTACAAGTGAGATCAAAGGGGATTCGAAATCCGAACTTGTGTATAGAGGCAAATACCATCTACTCTTACAAATTGATACTTTCATCGTAAGGGTCAGATTTAATCAAACTTAACTCCACTATCCAGGTCATTTTATCGTATTCAGTTATAGTACCACTAATAAAAATCAAAGGGGATTCGAACTCTGATCTTGTGTATAGAGACAAATACTATCTACTATTTGAGTTCGACACCCTCATTGTAAGAGTCAGATTTAATCGGACTTAACTACGCTATTCAACCATTTTATCGTATTCAATTATAGTATCACTAATAATAAATATTTTTCTCAATGGGATGTAAATCCTTTGCCACATCGGATCCGATTAGTGAAAACATTTATAGACAAAATGAAAAATAGTTTGGTGGTGTGGCACGCAAACTTACATTATTGGGGCTAAACAGGATTCTAATCTAAACTTGGTTTTTGACCTGCCAACCCCTAACCTCCTTATAAACCTAGGGGCACTTTCGTCATTCTATAAATCCAGGCATTCTCGTAGTTTCGTTGTAAATCGTGGGCAATCTTTCAACTCCACATCTATAAATATAGAGAACCCAACCCCTCCTCCCATTCCTCTATTCCATTTGTTTCCTCTCCCCTCCTCTCTCTCTCTCTTCTCTCTCTCTCTTCTTTGCGACAATCTGTCTCCAGATTCCGGCCACTGTTCGTACGGCCTCTCCTCTCCAATCCAAATCTTTTCTTCTTTTTCTTCCTTTTAATTTATAATTTATATTTATTTATTTGGTGGGTCCTGAATTTTTCCTAATTTCCTTTTTATCCCAGAGTCGGTTTTCTTTTTACTGTGAAGTTACCGTTTACCCCCTTGATCCTGACGTTTTGGTTTTTACTCGCCAAACATTTTTATTTTCAATCGCATTTATTATCCTTTCTTTTTTTTCTTCCTTGGATTTGTGGTGCGCGTTTTTCATGAACTGCTGCTGCGCACGTGGCATGCACCCGGATTGCCATCATCATGAACACCAAAACGATGCGTTTGCCACCTCGTCGGATTTCGACGACCAATGCGTCAAATAATACCAACAACAACAACAAGCGCAAGGAGAAGGAGAGTAGCTTCGACGCGCTCCAGAAGACCAAGAATCTCAAGCCGGCCCCACCGCCCCAAGGCAAGCCGTCCCAGCCGGCCCCACCGACCGGACAGCTCCTGGCTGGCTATCTGGCGCACGAGTTCCTAACCAAAGGCACCCTCCTCGGGCAGCCGTGGGACCCGTCCAGAGCCGAGCCGGCTCCTTCGGGCGTCAGCGGCAGCAGCAAGATCGAAGCCGAGCCGAAGTTGGAGAACTTGGAGAGATACGTGGAAGTCGCTGATTTGCTGAAGACGGAAGGGGCCCACTTGGCTGGCATTGTGAACCCAACTCAGCTCGCTCGGATATTACAGTTGTGAGGGAAAGGAGAGAGCTTTGTGGGGGCACGCGTCGACTGCAAGGTTAAAATATCCATCTGGCATTTTTGGCTCCAACATAGAAAATAGGATTTTTGTAGGGGGCAAAATGCAAAAAGAAAATTGTTATGTAGTTGCAGGGGCTTTTAGGTAGGCATCACCTTATTAATGGTGTATCTCTCTCTCTTGTCATCCAAATGTACGATAAAATTTCTTATTAATTTCACAAAAGAAATGGGAAATTTTATGAGAATTTAATGTGTTTTGACTTTTCAAGCAATGCAATTAATGATGCAGAAAAATGTTAAGAGCCTGTTGCTGATTTTTTATGAATTCTTTATCACTTCATAGTTTAACGTTTATTTCGTGCCAATATTTTTTAGTAGAAAAACATGAGATGATAGAGAATTTAGAAAAGTCTCTTTAACATTTTCTCGTTGATGTACGTATGCATAATGTTGTAGTCTAAAGTTAGCATAATCTTAATTTTCTCCCTACCATCGTATCATTATTACATTATGGAAAATGGTTTACACATTCATTTTTTTTTTATCGCTTGCTCTTCTCTTGTTTCTAGCTACACAAAATCGAATAAGTCAACGGGTGAAATAAAGGTGAATTAAGGAACATAAACAAGCTAAGGAGTGCCGAGAAAAAAGAACGGCGTGAAATCATTTTTCGTAAATTTTATATTTAAACAAAAAGGGTTGTTATTGGCTACTCAAAATTCTAATTGTGCACTACTCATAAGAATATAAAAACCCTTTTTAGCTTTCAAAGGCCTACATCGTCATAATACTTGAGGTTTGGTCTTGCATACAGGAGGAGCAACCTAAGGATCAAGGCGGTCCTGAGCCCTTTCTCCTCTCTAAATTTCTGCTGATCTGACACCTCAAATATTTATACACAAAAGTCAACTTTGCGATATTTATAAATATAGAAATTTACCTTAACAAAAACAAAATCCAAGATTAGAGACCCCACACCTAAAACAACATTTGCATCCAAACGCTTGGAAGTAAATTAATCGGACACCATGTATTAATCCATCAAACAATGGTTCAACAACAATATTAGCCGCCCATGTTGCATGTACTTTAGATTAAAATATAAACCGATAATACAAGGAATGAAAGAGTAATGCTAAACTTACCACATATTTGTACCATCTTTATAAGAAAGGTCGAACTACCAACACACGTGGATCTTATCTCTATTAAAAAGATTATATAAATATGTGTTATGAGTAACATTTTTGTTAATGGAAAGTGATTTTCTCATACTTGATTTCTCCTCCTACACACACCCATTTGTTTCTAACGGTTAGATTAAATAAATTAAAAGAGAACCAGGGATATAAAGAAACCAGAGTTCTTAGAAGAAACACAATAGTGCGAGAATCACTTACCTACGTTAATTTATTTGTAGTTGTTTTATACTCGCTGTTATCGTTCTTTTGTTCTTCTTGTCTTACATATGAAAAGATTCTAACGTATTATATACTACTTATGTAATTGGTGTATGGATGTGATAGCTAATACGTATATTTAACATGCTGTAGTTGGTATAATTATTGTAATTATCATTCTAGGGAATGTTATTAGCATTCTAAAAATTTTATTTGACGCTTCAAACTTTCTATAATTAGAAAGAAAAATACACTTATGAGGAATGTAGAATGAAATTTTTAGAATATTAATAACAATTCCCATTATTATATATACAATATTTAGGTTTTTGTAGGTTTTGTATCAAGTTTTTAACTTATTTTTGCATGGTCCAGCAAGAAATAAGATTTTGAACTCTTTTCTTAAGGGTAGTGATATCGACACATTCATTTGTATTTCTCACAAATCTATCTCAATTTTCGATCATCAGTTCGAATGAATTGAAGAAGATCAATGATAAAAAATTAACAAGAGTATGTGAGAGATAAAAATAAGTATGTAAATAGTGCTATCATTCCCAAACTATCTCCTTATGTATAAGCAGACATGAAATAAGACATGTGGTCTAATATATTAGGGCATGTTTAGTGGGCTGGTTGTGATAAATTAAAATAGACTTGAGTCCAATTCTTTATTTATTGTGTCAAAATATGAGATAAATAGAACTTGACATGATGGGTTATGAATCCATAATAAAGTAAGTTATCTAACATATCCTTATACATGAATTACCAGTCATGTTTTACATGATCCTACCAATTTAACCGGATCTCTAAGGCTCAATTTCATCCGGCCACCAAACGAGCTCTTAATGGATTGAGTGTTAGATTTTTACCCATGCACTCTGGTTTCAAAACTCCTCACTCCACTAAATTATCATAATAGTCTTGAACTCTCACATCTTCCTCAATAATAATAAATAAATAAATAAAAGAAACATGAACAAAATATTATGTATCAATATGGGAACATCTTTTTTTTTTTTTTTTTTTTTTTTTTTTGGGAAACTAGGAACTTCATTCTAGGGCTAAGAAGCCAAATAGGTGCACGAAAGCCTGTCGAGAGGCAAACACCAAGAAAGATAGACCAAGACGAAAGCAGTGAAAGAGGATACATCCAAATGACGCTTCAACCAAGTGAAAGTGTCATCTTAAACACCGCCACAACAAAATTAATGCGGACATGGAATACCATCTTTACACCACCAAATATTCCCCCATCTTGTCAACTTGTGATGTCTTCATCTCTTGTTTTGTCATTATTTGAGAGTAAAAAATATCTTACAATATAAGTCGCTTCTTTAGGATTTGAATTCCATCCGGATTCGGAATTTTAGGAATTCTCACATCTTAATTATTCATCGTACATTGTGCAGTTAGAAATCATTTGATTTTTTATAATTAAAATTAAACACAAATAGTACTTAACAAAAACTGGTCGCATGATGTACGATGAACGGCTAGGATGTAGGAATCCCTAAGATCCCTACAAAGTGGATGCGGAGAAGATCCTCTTCCTCATTATAAGGCCTCGGTTTTTATTTAGTCAATTCTGAAAAAAAAATAATAATTGATTCACTTTAAATGGTAGGTAGTCAATTTTTATTTATTTTTGGTCATATTAGATGTTAGATTAGCCGTCAATAGGGTTTGAACTCATACCGTCACGTAAGAGCTCAACTCTTTTCCACTACTGTGATAAAGTGTCACTTGCGACCGGTAATCTTGATCATCTTCTCTTGAGGTCTATATTGCCCCGCAGAATCGCTCACAACCTAGACCCAAGTGAATAAACCTTCTATGTATTCACTTCCCCTAAAAATATTGAGGAATCCTCCCAACATCAATTTGACCTCGGGCAAATTCGTCAACACATCCCGCGTCAAATTTTCAAAAGATAATAAGCGTAGCACCACGGAAAGATGTTTTCCTAATGTGCTTAATCCTTAGCTTGCCATGAATCCTAATATGAAACAAAATATGGGAAAAAAACATCCTCAAAACTTTAGAAATTTGATAAAACGTAATGTTGGAAATTGACTTAAAAAACTTATATTTCACGGCTTAGCGGTAAGGATTGCTCGTGATACCATTCTCTTTGAAGTGATAAGTCATGGACCAGATTAGCTAGCAGAGGTCAAATCTGCAATGCTTGAAATTTTTTACTAAATTTGCATCCTTCAGTTAGATCAATTCATTTCGTCTTCTGGTACGCTCAAAATGGCTCAACTTTCTCCAAAAGTCTAGCTTCCTCACTTGCTCTAAAATTTTCTTTCACGTCATCATGGAAAAATAACTCACGCCAAGTCGCCAACTAAGAAGTTCTTCCTCATTTGAAAGTTTGGAGGAGCACTGTTTGTACCATATGTGATCAATCATGAAACTACCAAGTCTTTGCTACCTGCTAAGCGTAAGTCTACCGAAGCACCCATGCTGAATCCCTCACTAAACACTTAGGATGCGTTTGTTGCACAGGAATATCTCGGACTGGACTAGCTTCAGGGACTAAGCTGTACTAGCTTAGACTAGACTAAGCTGTACTAGCTTAGACTAGACTAAGCTGGATTGATTTAGTGAAGTATTTGGTGCAGTGTCAGACTAAAAAGCAGAATAATTAAAAAAAAAAAGGAAAAAACAACTGGTGATATGTAAAAAAATATCCATGCTATGTGCTTCAACTTCAATTTCAACCAACATTAAAATTTCCAGTTCTCAAATTCTACCAACTTCAATTTCAACTAAAATTTCCAATTCCCAAATTCTACCAAAATTTCAATCAATTTCAACCAACTTCAATTTCAACCAACCTACAATCAAATTCTAAATTGCATATTACCCAGAGGAAGAATTGGCAAATTAACTCATAATCTAACCCAAAAATTCATGTTCTCAATTAAAAACCAAAGATTTACAACCTCAATTTCTCAAAAGCCACACATTGGCAATATATTTCCCACGAAGGGTAAGCAAATCAGGCCTCCATCTGCATCATTGAGGCTTCCATCTGCGAATCAAACCTCTAGCCGCGAGCGTCCATTTTCAATTGCGGATCTCAGTCAACCAAATTCGTCCCTGTTCCTTCGACCCCACCATCGTATCCCCCTCTAAACCTCTCTTCTTCGATGACCCACCCCATCCCCTCCTCCAATCGACGTGAATGGCCATGCCACCGGCGGTGGAGAGCTCAGACTCAGCCTTGTGCCTATCGTCGTCGTTCTCATCTTTTATGTAGGTCATACTAAGCCCAAAGAAGCGGGGAGCCGAGAATTTGTACATCTCGTCGACGATCGTCGCTGTCGGTGGGCTGGTCTTGCGAGTTTGGTCGAGCAAACCAGGACAAACACGCGAGGAGGACGGCTGGACGAGGACACGAGGAGGAAGGGACGCGAACGGTCTTAGCAGTCCCCTGCTAATTGGGGGGTCTCCCTAAGCTCTTCTAACGAAGGACTTAGTCGAAGCATGTCTGGTCTAATCCCATTAAACCTAATCCTTGTGTAAACCAAACATGAAACTACACTAGCAATTAGTCTAGTCTAGTCCAGTCCCTCCTAATCCGGTCAAACAAACACACCCTTAAGCTCCAAGCCAACCATTATCAAGTGACTGGATAATCCCTGCGGAAAGTTGATTGAATTTTGCACATAACAAGATCATGACTTCTATACATTAAAAATGATCTCAAGTCGTTATTTAACAAACAAAAAGAGTCATTTTCGTTTTAGTCCTATTTAACAACTGATGACCATTTAGTATTATATTCATCTTTACTTGTAAGAGAGAGGTCTAACCATAATATTACTAACTCATTATAAGACTTAACTCACTTTCTCACTCTTTAAGGTAGATAATATCAGTTTGTTAAAAAAAAAAAACAACCGAGGTGTCGTCTGGACAGGAGAAAGTGGCTACAAGAAAACGAGAAAAAAGGAAAAACGCGGTTTTCCTTGACAGTTGAGTTGGGTGAGGCATTTCCACAAACACTTGGGCTGCTCGCTGAAAACCGCCAACAAAATGCTGCGCATTCAAACTTGTCTCCCGTCGATACTACATATTTCCCCTCTGCACCGCACCCGCACTCTAAACTCTCTTCCTTGCTACGCTACTTCGAGAAAACCCGATTCGGAGTCCCGCCTCAAAGCTCGCTCCAATCCCAAACCGAAATCTCAGCGCCCAAAGACCGAAACTTCTGAAGACGAGGGTGACGAGCCAGGCGAGACGTTTCCAGCGACGATTCCGAGAAAGCCCCGGCGCGGGCGCAGAAGCGAAGCGGCGGCGGTCGAAGATTACGTGCGGGAGTCACTCGATCGGACGTTTGCGTCGATCAGAGAGCAGAACCCAGAAATTGTTGAGAAGAAAGATGGAGTAATGAAGAGGAAAGTGGACGATGATGGGGAGGATGATGAGGATGAGCGTTTTGGAAGTGAGAAGAGCATGGTGGTTGAGGAGGAGAGCAAGGATTGGCCGTTGGATGCCGATGTGGGGTGGGGGATTCGGGCTTCGGAGTACTTCGAGAACCACCCGATTCGAAACGTAGTGGGTGAAAATGGGGTTGAGATTGATTGGGAAGGCGAGGTTGAAGACAATTGGGTGAAGGAGATCAATTGCTTGGAGTGGGAGAGCTTTGCTTTTCACCCAAGTCCTCTTCTCGTTCTTGTTTTTGAGAGGTACAACAGAGCAAGTGAGAATTGGAAGGCGTTGAAGGAGCTCGAAAAGGCGGTCAAGGTCTATTGGAATGCCAAAGATCGATTGCCTCCTCGGGTATGCGTGTTATCGAACTCGTTAATTTCCTATGTTGCAATGATTTAATTGATGAATGTTGTTAAATTTAGTAACTTTACCTCCAGTTTGTGTTTTTGTATTGATGAATGCTGTTAAAGATGGTAACTTTACCTTCAATTTGTGTTTTTGCATTCGACAGTCGGTTAAGATAGACATCAACATTGAGAGAGATTTGGCTTATGCTCTTAAAGTTAGAGACTGTCCTCAGATTTTGTTTGTACGAGGAAACAGGATCTTGTACAGAGAGAAAGGTTGGAAACGGATTCGTGGGTTTCAATCAGTTTTTGTTAGTTGTTTGCGAATTACTATCTTTTCTTGGTGCTAAGTTTGATTTTGTTTTTGCAGATATTCGGACTGCAGAAGAATTGGTTCCGATGATCGCGCATTTCTACTACAATGCAAAGAGGCCATCCTGGATTGATGTGAATGAGTTATCTTCGCCTTACTAATGGCATTCTGGTACCTAAAATTTGCACCGACTAATATTTGTTTTTTCTTGTGTTTATACTTGATTACGAGCTCAGCCTTGGTGACTTTATTATCGGTCATAATGATTTTTGGCCTCATGCATCAGATTATGCGCTGGTGAGATCATTGGTTTACTTAGAAGTTTGAAGCATGGAGCACGATCAAAAGTAGGTTGCGTTTGCAGGTAAAAGCTGTTGATCCCTTGGATATTGCTCTTGAATGACTGTTAATTAGGTAACAAATTATCGTTATATATGTTTGATATCTTTCTTTATCTACACTGATATAATAAATTTCATGTTTCTGTCATTCCGTGCATAATTGATATCACTCTTATAGTGTCAATGGTTATGCGAGATGCTAAATTCACACAATAAAAAGGACTAGGTACAGAGATGGAACCCATTGGCTGTAATTTTGTTGCATTATTGACTCATAAACTTCTTGACCAATTTTAGAATCTAATATCATATACATGAAAACAATTATTCACGGATTGTAAAATTCACACGAGGCAAGGCATTGAAGGCACTCTATCAATAGGTGTAGAATTAGTGACGGATAAGATACAAAAAATTATAGTAGAAAAGCTACATTTTCGTCAAGGAATGGAAAAGCTTCATACCACAACATGGTGATTCCTCCTTGTCCTCCTCCTGGCAGGTGCAGGTCCCTATATAATTTCTTACCATTCTCTTCTATTACCGTACGGTAGTTGATATATACATGTGGATGCACAATGGGACTCATATTATCATACGATAGTTGATATATGCGTGTGAATGTGCAGCGGGATATCCTTAAACACTTTCTTTGTGTCACATTTCTTTTATAATATTGAAGCACATTTTATTCACGTTTTAGCTCATATGACTCTCATGTGTGAAAGTTGAATCTAATTATGCTACATGCGTGCTTTGTTTCCGTTACGGCAGTTCACAACGGAGTATGCGAAGAATAGGTGAGCGTCTTATGTGTGTGTAGCATCATAGGACTCTGTAGTAATTTACTAACGAGGAAAACTGCAATGGCGTTAGCTGGTGTGTCTGGTTACCGTGGAAATGATAAAAGATTAAGCATGCATGGGAAGTGTATAAGATGCAGCAAACGCAATAAGATCATTCCCCTTTATGTAACTCTTGCAATGGCTTTTGCCTTGTTGTAATCCAACCACAACTGAAACTTATACAGTATCGATAAATGTTTGTTCATTTGGTCTAGAGACATCTAATTTATACTGTCGCAGTAGTTCTAGGCCTCGTTTGTGAGCCCGCCAATGCAACATTGGACTTTTGAGTATTGATCGACAAGGTTGGTTGAATTCCAGAGTCTTGGTAAGAGCATATTCAATAGAAATGTCAAAAATATATTCAAATATTTCATTTGAAGGTTGATGTGGCAATGTGAGACTCTTTTTTCCTCCAACCCATGTCTTTTTTGTGTGTTATAAACGACAGTTGTAAGACCTATTTTTGAAAATAAATCAATTAAAATAAATTTTCAAGATTTATAATTGGCGCATTAATAGGATTTACACAATAAAATAACTAAAAAATTAAATTGGTAGCGGCTAAAGTCAATGTCAAATTTGGCAACAGAAAATTCATATGTCAATTCATGTAGGATTGACACATCAATTGGAACTACTTTCTACGTTCAAACGGCAAATCCCTCATTGGCTTGTGTATGCGAGTCTTGTGATGGTAGTTTTATCTTGAGACTAGCCTTCATGCACGCGCTCACACGTGTGCAGAGGATATTTTTTGAATTACAGCGTGCTACGTATGACTTACACATTTTAAATGTATTTATATGTGTAGATTAACAAAAGGAAAGTCAAATATTTGAAGTAAATGAATAATTTTAGATTATGCTAGAAGAAACCCCTCATAAACCAATTAAAGTAGCTAAATTCACATGATAAAATCGGTCTCTATAAAATTTACATTAAGAATAGGGAAAATAATATTTAATAAACAATTGATTGAATCACATTATTACTAGCCCATTGTGAGGCTAAGCCCACTCCCCTCATTCTTAGGGTAGATAATATCGTTTGTGTAAAAAAAAAAAAAAAACAATCATTTGACAACTAATTTAATCACATTATTATCCACGTGCAAAAGATATTTTTTATAATCGGCATTACATGCCTCTTAAGATGTTTTGAATGTGTTTAAAAATAGAGAAAATAATATTTAATAAAAAACTGATTGACTCACATTATTGATAGCCTATTGTGGGGCTAAGGCCACCCCCTCCCCCTTAGTGTAAATAATATCGTTTGTTTAAAAACAACAATCATTTGACAACTTATTTAATCCATTATTATTCGCGTGTGAAATATTTTTTTTATAACCGGTATTACATGTTTCTTATGATGTTTTGAACGTGTTTAAAAATAGAGAAATTGAATTACATTATTACTAACCTATTGTGAGGCACTAATTATAAAAAATAAAAAAGCACAAAAAATTAATTATTAAAAAAACACTGCTAAAATGATGAAAATGCACTTAACTTATTTGATACATTATTTTGGGATACTTTTGAAGTTTTTTTTTTTTTTTTTTTTTTCTTGGAAGTGTTTTTGTTGAAGCTTGATGACACCAAAATAACTATTCACCTTTTGTATTCTCTTTATATATAGAAGATTTGGGACAATCATCTATTACACATGAACGGTTTTTTTATTAAAATACAAATTTTTATTTTTATTACAACTACACATATTTACATTAAGGGTGAAAAGATTTGTGTTAATTAATTTACAAATTGACATGCATTAATTTTCTTATTTAGATTTATAAATATAGAAATTTAGAATTTTCGCATGGAAAAAAACTTGAAATTTTGCGACCTTTAATTTCCAAGTTTAAATTTCATGTAAATATGTGTTATTTCCTAATTTCTATGATTGAGAGATTAAAAATAACAAATTCTATATTCAATTCAATTATTCTTTTATATTAACCAAATAAGAAAATTCACAAATTCTAAAAAATAAAATCCTGTCATTTTAAAATTCTTTAGTAATTTTAAATTTCTTCATCCAAATGTAGTGTTAATTTACAAAATTTAATCTACACATTTAATGTCTCTAATATTCCCTATCAAAAAATATGTAGAAGAAAAAGAAAAATACCTAAAAACGGGTCAAAAGTTTTTTTTTTTTTTTTTAATTGAAAAAATAGAAGAAAAAAAATGCACCATGATCCCTTTCGCGTTCTCAATTCTCAGACCTAATCGCATCTGCGTCCGGCAAACGCTTTCTCTCTCTCTCTCTCTCTCTCTCTCTACTCGTTGTTTGGATTTTGGGTTTGAGAGCTTGCAACAATGGTGAGAGGATTACTGAAGCAGCTGACCTTCCGCTCTCTCTCCGTCGCCGGAAAATGGCAGCAGCAACAGCTCCGCCGTCTTAACATCCACGAGTATCAGGTATCTCTCTCACACTCTCTCTCTCTTTGCATATTTCACTCGCACTTACAGTGACAACCAAACTCTCATATCTAGCAGTCGCCGATCTGTTTCTGTTTTAATCCCCCATAAACACTGGAAAATTAAAAAAGACACTATTTTTTTCCCCATTTTGCGATAATATTTATTTGTTTAAATATATATATATATATATTTGTTTAATTTCGATAGTTCATATAATTTTGCAAAGCTAACATTACTGATCAGTGAAAAAAATAGAACTTTAAAGTGTGCTATATTTTATATGATGTATGTATAAATGCCAAATGTTCGTTGTTCATATCCATGAAGTAGTTGGGTTGGATTGTATTTGTGTGAGAATGTTGTTTGAAGTTTGATGATGAATGCCATTCGTTTTTGGTTGAGACCAGGGGGCTGAATTGATGAGCAAATACGGGGTCAATGTCCCGAAAGGTGTCGCGGCTGGTTCCGTCGATGAAGTCAAAAAGGCAATTCAGGATGTATTCCCCAAGGAAAGTGAGGTAATCATTGGAGATAGTCTTTACATATTCAAATTTATGAATCCCCAGCTTGCAATTGGTAAATAAAATAGTGAAAGTTCGAAATTTGTTTCCTGTTGTATCTTATTTTCTAAGAAAATTACCGTAGTGGCCTAGAAGGAGAAATGCTAACTTGAGTTTTTGTGCAGTTGGTGGTTAAAAGCCAAGTCTTGGCTGGTGGAAGAGGCTTGGGAACGTTTAAAAATGGTCTCAAGGGCGGTGTTCACATTGTCCCGACTAACCAAGCTGAAGATATCGCTGGTATTAAAAACCATCATTGCTAAATATGATTGGATTTCCCTGGCTTTATCTTTTTCTTTTCCTTCAAGATTTGGTTTCACATTCATTAACCATTGATTGACAATATCAACATGGGCTTTCGTTCAAATAACTAGCACTCCATGGGTTGATATGTTTCATTTGCACTCCTGATTGGCCCTCAAGCAATGCATGCATGTTAGGTTACAATAATTCTGTGATAGTGTTTTTGTACAATTAGTGTTCTATATGATTCAGGCAGTTGCAGCTTTTTAAGATGTGGTTCTGTTTTGTCCTTTTGTGATGCTTATTTATCTCCGTTTTATACTTCTCATGCAGGCAAGATGCTTGGGCAAATTCTTGTTACCAAACAAACAGGTCCTCAGGGAAAAATTGTCAGCAAGGTTGGCATAGAAATTTGTTTTAAGTTGTCCATTCGTATTAACTCGTGGCAATTATTCCTGTACAATGGTTCCCGAGCTTTCACTTTTATATTAAAACTTGGAATCTTTGTTGCTCCAAACTTTCACTTTTACTTTATGTGAAATGATGCTTGGTGCTAAGAATTCCTAGGCCTCAATACTGTTTTGAACTTGTACATCATAACTTCATTTTTTTTACTTAGGTGGTCTCTTTCCTTTTCTTGTGCAGGTTTATTTGTGCCAAAAGTTGTCACTTGTCAATGAGATGTACTTTTCTATCATTCTGGATCGCAAATCGGCCGGCCCAGTATGTTTCAAACTCAGTTCTTTGTGTTTGCTACAAATTACTGATTATGTTTTCCTATATCTTTGGTAACATAAGTTTTCATCAAGGTTGAGCTTGCTAAACTACAGATTAATATATATTCCAATTTCCAGCTTATAATTGCCTGTGCAAAGGGTGGAACCAGCATTGAAGACCTTGCTGAGAAATTCCCTGATCAGATAATTAAGGTAGTCATCCTCATTCTTAGTTTGATGCTTTAGCACTACTCTTTCCTTTTCTATATAGTTATTTAACTAGTTTATCGTTGTTTTTTTGGTTTTTGTTGTTGATAGGTACCTATCGATGTTTTCACCGGAATTACAGATGAAGATGCTGCAAAGGTTGTTGATGGTTTGGCTCCAAAAGGGGCTGATAGGAATAGTTCAATCGACCAAGTGAAAAAATTATATAAGCTATTCAGTGAGACTGACTGTACATTGCTGGAAGTGAGTATAAACTTCTTGGTTCTAGTAATGTTACTATTTAAGCTTCCCAGTTCCAATATTCCATTTCACATATTTGTCTGACCCTTCATTTTGGACAGATCAATCCACTTGCCGAGACTGCTGATAACCAGTTAGTAGCTGCTGATGCCAAGTTGAACTTTGACGACAATGCTGGTTATCGTCAGAAAGAGATATTTGCTCTTCGTGATCCATCGCAGGAGGATCCCCGAGAGGTCTGTTTATGCTGTCCTTTTCAATGGATAATTATCTTTTTGTTCAACCCCATTTAAAGCTGATTATTATTATCATCTTATGCAAGTTCCATTGCCACGTATCATCCCATTTTCGTCTGTGTACAAATTTTGTTGGCATGATTCATCTTTGATTCATATGTATATGCAGTATGTGCATTTCAAATGTTATTAGAAGTTTCTCGCAATCTTTTGCCAACTTGTAGTTTCTAAGCATGATCTGGGTTGGTCACTTTCGTACATGCCCTCGTAAAATCCGGGTCAGCTTTTAATTTGAATTCCTGATCCCAACCTCTATTAGGTGTGGAGGAAGGTGGGGGCTGATTAACAGGGATAACTAAAGTTCCCATATTGTCTGATGGAATATAATATTTCATAAATCATTATGAAGCCCAAATGCCACCCATGAGTTTGTATGTAGGAGATGTTTTGTCTAGGTAGTTATAGGTGATCCCATACATGCACAACAGTGCACCCTGTGTTTACTTATTTTTGTCCCGTCTCTTTTACCTTGCAACAGGTGGCTGCTGCCAAAGCAGATTTGAATTATATTGGCTTAGATGGGGAGATTGGTTGCATGGTGAATGGTGCAGGATTAGCTATGGCTACAATGGATATCATTAAATTACATGGTGGGACTCCTGCCAATTTTCTCGATGTAGGTGGAAATGCTTCGGAAAACCAGGTAATGATGTGGTTATAGGATTTGATGAACTGCTTGTCGGACCTTACTTTTCCCCACTGTTGTCATCAGGTCTCTTCCGAAACAATTTTATTCTCGTACTTGGTCTGAGGATCTATTTTATGTCCAACTTTGGTACGCCTTTGGGGTTTAGATGGTTTACTAGATTGTGAAGTCGTACATGCACATTGGAGTACGCTTTGATATTTGGAATAATAGATTGATTGTTCTTTTTATTGTTAAAGAAAATGACAATGCCTTAAAGCCCTTATGAAACCCGAATTGCTTTCTGTTCTTTAATTCTAGATTATGTGAAACAGGTTGTTGAGGCATTTAAGATTTTGACTTCTGATGAGAAGGTGAAAGCGATTTTGGTCAATATCTTTGGTGGAATAATGAAATGTGATGTGATTGCAAGTGGAATTGTCAATGCTGCTAAACAGGTCAGCAATGCTGTTCTGGGGATTTATCCCCCGCAAATTAATTACCATGTTTTAGGACAGTCATTCCTGGTTGTTCCATTTTACTTAATCTTTGTTTCACTTCAAAATGAAATATCATTTTGAATTACCCTGAAGAGATTGAATAACTACTGCAGGGAGATACAATTTGGCACTTCCTACGAAGGAAGGACGGGAAAATTTTTCTTGTTAATTGAGCTCATAAACTGAAAAAGTTTAACAGCTTTGTGTAATTGTATGGCCTCAATCTTGTTTTGTTGAAGCATCAACATTTGTTCATCCTTGTTCAAGGTTAAACTAGAAGTGCCAGTGGTTGTTCGTCTTGAAGGTACCAATGTCGACCAAGGAAAGACGATTCTCAAGGTACCATTTAGAAACTAAAACTATCGGTTCTAGGTATGAAAAAATCAGCGAAGATAAAATGGAATGTTTACCGTCTTTTAATGGCTGTGCAGGAAAGTGGAATGGCACTAATTACAGCCGAAGATTTGGACGATGCTGCTGATAAAGCGGTTAAAGCACTGACGAAATAGATCCTTCAGTTCTCTTCCGAGTTACATATCGATATGATTCTTACGTCTACGGCGATACTGATGTGCTCTGCTTGGTGTTTTTGTGTGAAATTACATAAAACACCACCTGTGCATAGTTTTAGCAAAAAATTGAAATTGTTTGAAGAGTTCTGAGGCTGTTTCTGTTGTCAACAAGGAGTTTTCAATAATACAGCTTTCTTCAAATTTATTCACCTATGCATCGGAGTTTGAAACCCCCTTCCTGTAGTAGAGATTAACTTTGAGCAAAACAACCGCTCAATTTTTATTCTAGAGGTGCAGATTTATGCGTTGAGATTTATTTTTCGGGGCTTATATAAGCACCAAGAAAATATAATTACTAAGATATATATTTTTGTTTCTCCAAAGATTGTGCAATCCTCTTGGAAATGCAATAAGCAGTGGATTCAATGGTGATCATTGGATTCACACCAACTGCAGTTGGAAGCAAACTTCCGTCGCAAACAAACAACCCTTTTGCCTCCCAACTCTCACCATTTTCATCAACTCCTCCGTCCTCCTCGGTAGTCCCCATTCTGCAACTCCCCATCTGATGGGCAGAAGAGTAAGTTGCCCACAGCTCCTCCCTCGAGCTCGGCCCTGCAGCGGCAACAACCGTGTCCAAAAACTCCTCTAAATCCTCCTCGTCAACCCCCTTGCATTTCATCCTCTGCCCGTCGTTCCGATAGGTCCCTACTTCAACAGCTCCTGCTGCAATCAGGATCCTCAGAGCCTGCCTTAGCCCTACTTGAAGATTTTCTTTGTCCAATTGGTCTAATGTGTAGTGGATCCTCCCTTCTCGCTTAACCGTTCCTGAACCACTGTCTCTCACCATTGCAAACAGGTTAGCTGTTCTTGCATACTTATCCATCGTGTCCTTCATGTCAAGCCTTGAAGTCCATGGAAACAATGAGGAAAACGTGGCCGGCCCTAGCACAGCAGTCTCAATGATCGTGCGCACGTTCGCAGTACCAGAAACCACTTTGTGGAGTGAAGTGATGATCCCTCCCTCATAACTTTTGCCTTTAAACTCCGGTTCATGTTCCGGAAAGTATCCCCAAGCCAGCAGAACAGGGTGAAGGTGGAGGTTCCGGCCAATATTCCGATTCTTAAGTCCACTGGAGATCATTAAAGGAGGAGTACAGAGAGACCCACATGCTGAAATTGTCACGTTTGCCTCGATTTGCAGCTTCCTTTTTATGTTCTTGCTCAGAGATGTTGCTTGCACCCCAAGGCATTGCTTTCGTATACCTCCTTCATTGTCATCCTCAAGTATAAACTTCTCAGCTTTGCATCCTGTTAAAATCACGGCACCAAATTTCACAGCATCGACTAGCCAAGTCGAATCAGTCCCTTTCTTGTCCCCTGTCGGACAACCATAATTGCAAAAACCACAGTAGTGATCCGCGGACGAGTTCCTTGGAACTGCATCAACTTTCAGACCAAGATTTTCGCACCCTTTTCGCAGAATTTGATTTGGGAAATTTTCTTCGGTACAACTCTCCGTGACACCGATCCTCTTACACACAATATCCATGGCAGATTTGTAATCCGAGCTTGCATAAAGTGGAATCTTATGATCCACAGACCAGTCACGAAGAACATTATCTGGCGTTTTGATAGATGCAGACCAATTTACAGCAGAGCCTCCTCCAACTGTTGAACCGGCTAAAATCATTACCATCCCATCAACCGATGACATAATTCCACCCGATTCATATAACTCATTCATCGAAGGGCCTTCTAGAGAAGAGTAATCTTTCGGCACGAAGTAGTTCCCTTTTTCAAGAACGACCACTTTTTGGCCAGATTGAGCAAGAGCTGCAGCTGCAACTCCTCCGCCACAACCCGAACCAACAATGACAACATCACATTTGATCTTGTGGATGTTGTTTACTGCATCGTCCGCGAGATCGAGGCCCTTCTTCGTGAGAGATTCAACGAGGGTAGAATCGCTTTCGTAAGCAGTTTCTATGATTCCCTTTTCAAGAGGTCTCTGCTTTGGAGTTTTGATCAACTTTTCTTTCCTGTCTAATTCGTATCCAATCGCTTTCCAAGCCGGGTTTCTTGAATTCTCATCAACCTGCAAACCAACCGGCAGGAGTCAGAACGGAAACTTCAATTCCTAATGGGAGAGTGATAGATGGAACAAGGATCAATATATTTTTCTAGCTTCACATCTTTTTATCAGAGTTCACTAGTGTGATTTTTCTTTCTTTTTTTTAAGCTTTTGAGCCAAAATGGTAATCTAAGATTGACGTATCTCCTTACTTTGATCCAGATTTAAAATCGATTGAACTGGTCTAAGTTTGTTTACCTTCAATCATTTGGTTATTCCGTGAAAAATCTCCGTTAAATAAGGACCAAAATGACAAAATACCCTCAATTTTTGTCTAATCATTTTGGTGCTAAATTGAGGGTATTTTTGTCATTTTAGTCATTATCTAACAGAAATTTTTCATAAAATGGCCAAAATGATTGACGGTAGACAAACTTAGGGACCAGTTTTAATAATTTCAAATTTTAGGGACCAAAGTAAGGAGACAATTTTGCCTAAAATGTCTTTTTATTTTTTGCCCGAGTATGATTTTGTTATAACAAAAAGAGAGATACTACTAAACTAGTACCTAGTAGAAGATCATAAGCAAATTATATATTTTAATCGCTTAAATATCTAATTATTGAGAAAGACAACCTTATTTAAAATATGTTTAAGCATATACAGAAAAATAAAAAATAAAAAGAACTTTGCATATCAGACCTCAGAAAAAGAGATGCAGATAATGCAAATCCTGTCACATTATCTTTAAAAGAGACGTCCGCACTTGCATTAAAAAATGGACCGCAATCCCCACTCGTTTGTCCTAATTATTTGAAAGAGACTCAGATGACAATAATTGATCGATCAAGATCAACAGGACGATGCATTCCTGTTGAAAAAGTTTTTTTTTCTTTCTTTAAATTCTCCAACTCCGGATGAGTTTGAGGCCCTTTTTTAATGGGAAGAGATTTCATCCGATTTCTCCTACCAAATTCTAGGAATTCGGATCCTTGAAATTTGATCTAGTTATAAACATAAGCTCTTGTAAAGTTATAATAATTGTAGCCGTTAGATCAAATTTCAAAGATCCAAATCTTCGAATCCCTAGGACTTGGTGGGAGGGATCGGGATGTGATCTCTTCCCTTTTTAAATTATTGAAAGTGTACATCAAATAAACTAAAGAAGCAGAAGTTGAGTCACGGAGGGAGTATGAAAGTATATAAGTTTACAATATTGTCCATTTTCTTTGGCTTATGTCCAAAAGCCATGAGGGACGAAACCAACAGATTAACATAGAGTAGCTAAATTATCGCCTGTCAATTCCCCAAAATATCGGCAAAAGATAAAGGTTAAAACTCACATGCCTGAGTTTGTTCACTCTCAAACATTTTGATCATTTCGTGAAAAGTATCCGTTAAATAAGGATAAAACGAAAAAATTACCCTTAGTTTTTGTAAAATCATTTTGGCCAATTGTTTATTAAATTGAGGATATTTTTGTTATTTTGGTTCTTATTTAAAAAGATTTTTCACGGAATAACAAAAAATTATTGATGGTTGACAAACTTATATAACGCTTCTATTGATTTCAAATCTTCGGTATAAGTAAATTCTTACTGCTGTTATAAATAATTAGATGTAATGCAGCATTACCCTGGAGAAGAAGGTGTAGAAGCAGAACATCTTGATCACCATGAACATCAATCTGATTGTGATGACAAGCTTTTGCCTCGACCATTTCTTGAGGACTTGTTCTCTTTTGTCCAATGACATTTCAGAGAATTTGTGAATGAATGGCCATTTCCAGTCGAAGCAACATTTCCCACAGAGCAAAAATGTTCCCAATCTCAATGACAGCATCTTCAGAAATATCCTCACTCCACCCACCACCTCTGGTAGGGTCCTCTTCACCATCAATTCTGCTACCTGTTTTACCAAACATTGAACCAATTAATTGAGGAAAATACTTGGCTCCGTATTTCTCGCCGCAAAGAAAATTATAATTTTATGTGTGTGCATAAATACATGCCTGCCCAATTTCAATTTGACATGTGAACATAATTTTTCTTTTTGTTTTTTTGTTTTTGATAAGTTATTTGTACGTGCATTAAACTATAATTTGCAAAAACGAGAAATGACCCATTTTAATTAAAGAAGTAGTCAAGCAATATGTTTGGAATGAGTTAATATTGCATACACATCATTCTGTAATTTACAAATAAAGATATAATGATTCCTCACATGAGTGTTTATTAATTTTAACCCAAGAAAAGAAACATATAACAAGAAATGTTGAGGGAAACTCTCTCAAGGTAAGACTATCCATGGCTGCCATCTCACAGTTTAACGTCACTTTTCGTATAAATATTGTAAAATACTATATAAAAAATTTGAAGTAGTAAAAAGTCTAAAGAAAATCACTTACGAGAGAGTTACACATTTCTCACATAACAAATTGAATATTTCACAAAGGTGAATGCTAGCCCATCATGTGTATAATGTTTTTGGCAAATTAACTCGCAACGTATATCTAGCTTCGATTGTTAGTGCTCCTTAGGTCCCCCTGGTAATATAACTTAAGACAAATATAATTTAAAATTATATTCTTATTCTCTTGCTCTTCCTCACCCTTTCACATTCGCAATGAAACCAGAAGCATTGTAATTAAAAGCCAGATACACGTCATGGGCGAGTCACGCTAGCATTCTGCTTTCAGGAATTAAAAAAATATTAAAGCTTTCCTTTCCTATGAACTTGAAAAACAGTGAAAGAGATAAGGAAGAACTGACCTCATCTGGGATGGGAGGCTGAGAGGCAGAAGCTGTGCAGGAGGAGAAGGAGGAGGAATGAAGGGGGTTGTGGTCATCTGGGATGTCCTCCGGTGAGAGAGGAGGTAAAAGAGCTTCACATATGGCAGCCAATGATTGGATTTGAGCTGAAGAGAAACCATGGCTGAATTTGCTTTCCCTCTTTCCTCCTCTCAACAAAGGATGACAACTGCTCTCTCCCCCCTCCATCCCTCTCTTGTTCCTTCTCTCTCTCTCTCTCTCTCAATAATAAGATTACTTTCTCTCTCTCTCTCAATAATAAGATTACTTTGGTGTTGTTTTCACTGTTTTCCTCGTAGGGCGTGTCCCTTGCTTCATATTTTATATGAAGAGAGAGAGAGAGAGAGCGCATGCGACGTTTGGAAACAAACAAATAAGAATATTTTTTTTATCAAACATAAGCTTTGTTAATAGAAGAAAATGTATAAGAGATAATGTTAGAGAAATGAATTTGTAGATTAAATTTTAAAAACTAAATAACATAGAAATTAATGATTAGTTTATTATTTATGCATTGATAAACGTATTTGTGTTCATTGATAACACATTATTTAATTTATATATTTTATTTATAAATTAAACTTCTGTAGCACTATCACAAACTTAAATAAAAGTTGCTAGTCGGCAGTGTGGACAAAAAAGTTTAAGCAAAACACATGATAGTCTAATTAGACTCTATCATATGACACAAGTCATCTGTGCCACAACCATCATGCACTTTACAATTAATATTCCTAACTAGTTGATGGTTTTTATTTTGTTTATTTTTATTTTTATTTTTAAGATCTATTGTGAGTTTGAGTGTTTGATTTATACGTAGTTTGTAATTTGTTCTTGTTTGGATCCAAAATTACATTATCTGCCCTTGCAATCGAGGCTGTTGAGTAAGTATAGCCCTTAATTGTCAGATCGAAGAGTGAAGATCATTTTGTTATTATTTAAGGATAATATTATGATTTTTATCATAATTATCTTTTAATGATAATTAAGATGAGATATGCATCTCCAAGCTGGAAACACGGTAGTACAATTCAAGTTAATTTTGGATGTTTGGCATGTGAAAGTGTGGGTGGGATCAGTTTGGTTGACTGACAGATTCAAGTGGTATACTGCAAATTGATTATTATCCATTTAAAGTATGGTGATACTTAGTAAACAAATGAATTTGGAGTTCACTTAGACGACAGAAGGTTATTATGCATGAGTGGATAAAAATTATAAAGTGATGATGGAATAAAGAGCACCCCCGGATATCTTTAGCAGGATGCCAAGAATCTAGTTCGACAAATTGCATCAGGTTGGAACTCGTGGGCTTTGAAAGGATGGAAAAGATGGGATCAAGTTTGAACTTTCGATGGTGCATGACTGCACCTGGTCAGATTTGGTGGAAAGATGAGTGGATTGCCGTGATGCTTCGGTTTGAAATGCATGGCTAAGAGATAAACTTGCATGCTAATTATTTGCATGCCTTGGTTCCAACACATGAAGATCATCAAATACTTGGATAAGGATGGACAAAATAAGGAGAAAAGGAGATAATGATGGAGATATTAAATTAGTTGGATAATTGCATGATAACTCCATGCATTTAGTTGAGTCTGATCCACGCCAAAAATCTCATGCAATATTTAAGGATCAAGTCAGCACTTCCCTATAAATACAAAGGCAGTGGCAACGAGAAGAGCCCTTCAATTTAACATACAAATTGCCATGCGCAAACTCTCGCTCTACGCGAAATCTCTCAACAACCTTGAGATTTTTTATTTTCTTTTTCCGCCAACACATCTTTAGTTTGGATAAACAACATTGTAAAGGCAATCAGTGACATCTTTAGTTTGGATAAACAATACTATTACCGTAGAATCAGCTGACCGCAGAGCACCTTCAGTTTGGATAAACAGCATTGCGTTGAGGTCGACTGGTTATCTATCCAAGTTTCGATCGAGAAAGATTTCCGAATCCTTATTGGCAGAGGTCATCTTATTAGTCTTCTTGGCGAAGTGAGGTGTTACATGTTACTACATCGGTATATTGAAAGCCGAATTTGATATTGAATTTCGTAGAACTAACAACCTTGTCTTCAGGCTCTATAACCTTAAGGTTGAGACATGTTTCTTCCTTGGCCGCAGTTGCGAGATCAAGAAGTCAACAGCGCGCCCAACGCACATCAACATATTTTACTCATTGGCCGAACTTGGCTGACGAGTTGACACGGCCCGCATACAACTGAATAACGTAGTTAGCTTATTGATTACTCGGCTTGCGCACCACGTATGCTTAGTAGTTTTTAAGGTCAACCGTTCTAGACCAAATTTTTATTTTAAAAAAATCATCAAATAGGTAGGAATATTATAGATTTTTTTTAAAAAAATAATCAAATAGTTGGGAATATTAATTGTAAACCAAATAATTAAGTTTTGGCAAAAAAAAGAAAAAATACCAAATAATTAGGTTAGTGTTGCAATCCTAAATTTATTAGGAGTTTGATTGCGTGTAAATTCTAGTAGAATATTATGTGGTGTATAATATTTTTTAGATAGTTTTCTAAAAAGGATTTTTTTTTTTTTTTTTTTGACCAAACGATATTGTACTATGAAGGCTCACAATGGGCTAGCATTAACTCGCATCTGAAGAAAATCAAATTTAAGACCTCTCACTTACAAATGAAGGGGAAAATTACTAGACCGTGGTATTAAGGGCTAGTTTGGTATTGCTGTGTTTTTTGAAAAAACTGAACAGTTGTAAAATAAAGTTGCCTAGTATTTGGTAAACTTTTTTTTTGGTAAAATGCTTATAATAAAAAAAGTAATGTTTGAGTAATTGGTAAACTTTTATATAAATTACTTTGAATATGTTAAATGACTAAAAATGATATAATATTTAATGTGATATAATAATTATCGATAACAATAATGTGGGGACAAAGATTATCAATGCTGTTCTGGGATTTTTTCCCCGCAAATTAATTACCATGTTTTGGGACAGTGATTCCTGGTTGTTCCATTTTACTTTATCTTTGTTTCACTTCAAGGTGAAAAATCATTTTGAATTACCCTTGAGAAGAGATTGAATAACTACTGCGGGGAGAAATAGTATAGAAATTCGTATAATTCCTTACATGAATCCTTGAAATTTAAAATCGATAGAATTGGTATCTGAGTTTGTCCACTCTCAATCATTTTGGTCATTTCATGAAAAATATCCGTTAAAGGATAAAACGAAAAAATTACCCTTAGTTTTTGTAAAATCATTTTGGCCCATTGTTTATTAAATTGAGGATATTTTTGTTATTTTAGTTCTTATTTAAGAAGATTTTTCACAGAATAACAAAAAATAATTGATGGTTGACATACTCATAGAGCGTTTCTATTAATTTCAAATATCTGGTATAAGTAAATTCTTACTGCAGTTATAAATAATTAGATGTAATGCAGCACTACCCTGGAGAAGAAGGTGTAGAAGCAGAGCATCTTGACCACCATGAACACCAATCTGATTGTGATGACAAGCTTTTGCCTCGACCATTCCTTGAGGACTTGTTCTCTTTTGTACAAATGACATTTCAGAGAATTTGTGAATGAATGGCCATTTCCAGTCGAAGCAACATTTCCCACACAGCAAAAATGTTCCCAATCTCAATGACAGCATCTTCAGAAATACCCTCACTCCACCCACCGCTTCTGGTAGAGTCCTCTTCACCATCAATTCTGCTACCTGTTTCACCAAAATCCAATTAATTGAGGAAAATACTTGGCTCCGTATTTCTCGTCGCAAAGAAAATTACAATTTTATGTGTGTGCATAAATACATGCCTGCCCAATTTCAATTTGATATATGTACAAAATTTTTCTTTTTTCTTTTTGTTTTTGATGAGTTATTTGAACATGCGTTAAACTATAATTTACAAAAACGAGAAATGACTCATTTTAATTAAAGAAGTAGTCAAGCATTATGTTTAGAATGAGTTAATATTGCATACACATCATTCTGTAATTTACAAATAAAGAAATAATGATTCCTTACACAAGAGTGTTTATTAATTTTAACCCAAGAAAAGAAAAACATAACAAGAAATGTTGATGGGAACTCTCTCAAAGTGAGACTATCCATGAACTTCCTATCACCTTAGGCTATCTCCAACCGAAGGAGGGCCAAATGATCAATTTTATCCATCTAGCCCTCTAAGAAGTTAATATTTTAATAAACAGTGCAGGGTCATATTTCTTACCATCTTCAACCGACGTTCTAGAGGGCCATAGGCCAAACATAGTCTTGTGAAAAAAAAAACCATTTTTAACCGAGGGCCAAATATAATTTATTATTTAAATTTAGAAACTACAACAATTTAAATTAAAAAAACTACAACTTAAATTTAAAAACTACAAATTAAATTTAAAAAACACAACTACTTAAATTTATAGGAAAAAAAATGAGAAGCATGAAGTAGGTGATTAAGTTTTATGTAGTTAATTTTTTTTATGTTGTATAATGTTATTTAATGTTGTTTAACATTGTAATATGTTGTTTCATGTTATTTAATATTATTTAATGTTGTTTAATTACATAGGAAGTTATAGAAAAAAAATAGAATTTTTAATTTTTTTTTAAAAATTTGTAAAAAAAAAAAAAAAAAAATCATCAAATATAACGGCTAGCTGATATCAGCTAGCCGTTGCATTCAAATTTGTTGTCCGATCTGGGGCTGGCTGGGTTGGGCCAGCTGGTTGGCCCTTTGATCATTTTTTGTCCTCTGGGATCTACCAGCTCTTTAGCCTAACCCTCGGTTGAAGACTGTTTTCGAGTTATTTTAGACCCTCTGGACCCTTCGGTTATAGATAATCTTATAATTTAACATCAATTTTCGTGTCAAATATAACAGCTAGCTGATATCAGTTAGCCGTTGCATTCAAATTTGTGGTCCGATCTGGGGCTGGCTGGGTTGGGCCAGCCGGTTTGCCCTTTGATCATTTTTTGTCCTTTGAGATCCACTAGCTCTTTAGCCTAACCCTCGGTTGGAGACTGTTTTCAAGTTATTTTAGACCCTCTCGACCCTTCGGTTATAGATAATCTTATAATTTAATATCAATTTTCTTGTCAATATTTTAGAATACTGTATAAAAAAACATGAAATCGTAAAGAATCCATGCATGGGGAGTCACTTTTAAAAGAGTTCCGTATTTCTCACATAACAAATTGAATATTTCACAAAGGTAACTGCTCGCCCATCATGTGTATAATGCTTTAGGCAAATTAACTCGCCCCACCGCGTATGTCTGGCTTCGATTGTTAGTGCTCCTTAGGTTCAACCGTTAATATAACTTAAAGAAAAATATAATTTAAAATTATATTCTTATCCTCTTCCTCACCCTTTCACATTCCCAATGAAACCAGAAGCATTGTAATTAAAAGCCAGATACATGTGTTGGGCGAGTCCCGCTAGCATTCTTCTTTGAGAGAATTTTTTTATTGTGATTGGAACACGAATGTTACACTATATAATTTTATAAAAATGATGTGAAATTTTATTTTTTTAAATTATTAATTTTTAATATATATATTTCATAATTTGTATAGTAAAATGTGATGTACCATTCTGCCTACCGATCACTGAATAATCTCTCCTTTCATGAATTAAAAAAAGAGAAATTTAGCCAAAAACTCTTTCCATTGTTCACTTTAACGAAAAACCATATTTTTACACTAAAAAATCAATTATAGTACTATTCATTTTGCCTTTTATTTTGTTTAAAACTCAAAGTTCGTAATCTTTTTTCATTAGCTTTTCAAAAAAAAAAAAAAAAAATCTTTCCTTTCCTATGAACTTGAATAGAAAACAGTGAAGAGATAAGGAACTGACCTCATCTGGGAGGCTGAGAGGCAGAAGCTGTGTAGTAGGAGGAAGAGGAATGAAGGGGGTGGTGCGCATCTGGGATGTCCTCCGGTGAGAGAGGAGGTAAAAGAGCTTCACATATAGCAGCAAATGATTGGATTTGAGCTGAAGAGAAAACATGGCTGAATTTGCTTTCCCTCCTTCCTCTCAACAATGGATGACAACTGCTCTCTCCCCCCTCCATCTCTCTTGTTCCCTCCCTCTCTCTCTCTCTCTCTCTCTCTCTCTCTAATAAGATTACTTAGGTGTTGTTTTCAGTGTTTTCCTCGTAGGGGTGTCTACGGCTTCATATTTTATATGTAAATATAGAGAGAGAGCATGTGACGTGTGGAAACAAACAAATAAGAATATATATATATATATATATATATATTTTATCAAACATAAGCTTTGTTAATAGAAGAAAATGTATAAGAGATAAACTTAAAATATAATGTGAGGAACACTAAATTTGTAGGTTAAATTTTGAAAATTAAATGACATGAAAGTTGATTATTGATTTATTACTTACGTATTGATAAAAGTACTTATTTTTATTAGTGACACATCATGTATTTTGTAAATATTGTCTACAAATTTAATCTCTTAATATTATCCTAAACTTAAATAAAAATTGCTAGTAGGCAGAGTGGACAAAAAGTTTCATCAAAACACATAATGGTCCAATTAGACTCTATCGTTTGACACAAGTTATCATTGCCACAATCACCATGCACATTGCAATTAATATTCCTAACTAGTTGATGATTGTTTTAAAAAAAAAAAAAAAATCTGTTGTGACTTCGAGTGTTTGAATTATATGTAATTTGCAATTTGTTCTAGACCAAATTTTTATTTTAAAAAAATCATCAAATAGGTAGGAATATTATAGATTTTTTTTAAAATAATCAAATAGTTGTGAATATTAATTATAAACCAAATAATTAGGTTTCGACAAAAAAGAAACCAAATAATTAGGTTAGTGTTGCAATCCTAAATTTATTAGGAGTCTGATTGCGTGTAAATTATAGTAGAGTATTATGTGGTGTATGATAGTTTTTAGAAAGTTTTCTAAAAGGATTCTCTCTTTTGTTTGTTTGTTTGTTTTTTTTTTTTTACCAAACAATATTGCCACTTGTCACTCATCCCCCAACTCTTTGGGATACTCTATCATCTCTCTCACTCTTAACTCTCTTGCTCTATCCCTTTCTCTCCTCTGCAATGTCCACCGAGGCACCACCGGTCTCCCACTCTGGTGAGGTCGATGACCCACCAAGCTAACACCATTATCCCTCCCCTACAACCAAATTTCATCATCACCATCAAACCAGGACGCCCAGACCCATGACCTCCATGTTTTCCGGCAAGTACCTCATGAATTTTAGTGTAAGTAAGCCTCGAAAAACTCCCAAGATCTTCGTAGATTGTGTTTAGGAGTACGATTATGATGTTTTTGAGATGTTTTAGTGTTGTTTGGATGCAGAAATACCTCAGGGGGAACTTGCCCAGTTTTTCAGCGAAGGACCCGTGTGTTTGCATGTATTTCCGTCCACGACTCGGCCTCTTTTTGGTATGAATCTTTTCTACTCACTCCAAACCTCATTTCCATATGTAGAAAGTCAATTTTGGTTAAGAAGCTCAAATGGAGCTTGGGAAGTTTTCCGGCCAAACTCAGCCAGTCTGGCTTTCTTCTTCAATAGGTGCGACCGACTCGCAAGCCCCAAACGAGTCAAATCGACTCGGGAAAAAAAGAGGGGCTTCAGCCTAAACATGGCCCAAAACCCTTCGAAGCTAATTTCGATGTTTTGAGTCCATTTTTGGCATCCATTTAGTGAAATTCTAAAGTTTTAACACAGCTGACCGTCAGGACGTCTCGCTTGAGTTTTTAGCGTTAACTGTTAACTTTTTCGTAGACTTTTTATAAAATTTGCCCTCGACCCCTGTTAGTATATTTTGACGCTCTAATTCCAAATATGCACTCCGTTTTCCCAAATTTGATCATTTAAGTTGAGTTTTACTAATGGATCCCAATATTATGCTTATGTGTGATTACTATTAGAGACTTCAACTCTTACAGCTCGAACATATGTGATCTCTCAAGCATCTATGAGTGGGTCTTTTCTTGTATATAGTATATATATTTGTTAGTTTCCACATATATGTATTTATGAATGAATTTTCTACGTGATTCCCTAGTTAAATTAACGGTTATAAGAAAATGTCGTATTGTTGGGAAATTATGAATAATCCTATAGGATGTATAGGTAAGTGGACTATGGGGAGTGCCTTAATTATATTTACGGCTCAGAATAATATTTTATTGACTAGAATTGTTAAATTATTATGGCATGATCATATTTACGTTATCTGGTCATCATATGCTACGTTAGTGTTAGTACTTGCCTGGGCCAAGGCCAGTCTTCACATGTATGTTCACATTGCACCGTATTCTCACTTTAGATCCATTGTAGGTGCTAGTCCTGTCCTAGATTGCTATAGGTAATTAGGACTTGTATGTGATGTGCATAGTGTCAGTCTTCAAGTGATTATAGTACTAGAGCATAAATCATTATTACACCCAGTCATGTTCATGTCAGAATACCTTTGCATGAACTCATGTGTTAGCATATGTCGATGAGCACCCGTTTTTATATTCATTTATCTGAGTTATTGTCGTTGCCATACACTATGGTTTATTTATGAAATATTGTGAAGTTTTTCATTTTCGAGATGTTACTGTTTACAGTAAGTATTATCATACTATACGTAGTATGCTATGTTTTGGAAACTATACTTGTTTTACGGTAAGGGGTTATTACGTTTTCAAAAAGGTTTTACAAAGATTTATTTTTAGGCCCACTCACCTTTGTTTTTCGCTTATCCAGGTTTTACTAGTTGAGCTTTCGTATCGACGAAGATTCTTGGTAATCTTGGTATTGGAGATTACATTTGATGGTATAATTCTCATCATACCTCTACTGTACTTTACTGATGCTCTGCATCATGTATGAATTGAGTTCAAACCCGCTCACATACGCACTCTTATATTTAGGCACTTTTAGGCTTAAATTTATTCACATTTTCCACATCACTACACTTTATGGCTTTGTCACCCTCTTGGTGTCAGCCAGCACAACTTGATTCGAAGTCCAGGTGGACATTCTGAGTCGAGGTGTATCAGTTTTGTATTAGAGCATAAGTTTAGGTAGTATTGCATTCATCACACACGTGATGTGCGCATCCTCGATTCTTGAGTTTAATTGTCAAATCTTGCCACCTCGTCGAACACGAAAAATATATTAACTTTCTCTAAATTTCGAGTGACCTAGATGACTTATTGACCTTTTGGAAGAACATTTTAGCGACCGTCGCTAAATTTATATAAGAACCTCCCTGCCAAGGAAGATCCCAATTTGGAATGAGTTGATGGCCTTGATGCAGGGCTAATGTATTAGTAACTGTGCACTGCCAGAGATTTGACTCATCAATCCCATCACTATTCTCCAGCTATCATTAACAAACCAAGATAGGAAACCGGAAATAGTCTTGATTCCTTGGCAGTCCCTGTTGGTATACCACCCATCATAATTCCTACGAAGTTTCACTTTCGTCGAAATCTCTAGAAATGTCTCGAACGACAATGCGGTGCTAAAGTGGTAGCACCCAATAGAAGAATATTTGGGGGACAATCGCCTTTGGTCCTCGACTATACTAGTCTTTTAAGCATAGTTATAATTTCGGATCTTCAGGAAGAAGATCGATGTCCGTTAAACCCCATTCTAAAGTAGATTATTAGCAAATTCCTTTTTCCAACCTTTTCAACCAACACTAGTTCCTAGAATTCCTTTCCATGTTGTACTCGTCATATTGATGAGTATGGGCATGAGAGTATGAGTTGTTGTACCTTTAGTTAGCGGAAAATCCCAGAAGTAGTAGTCAATTTTGTAATACCCTGAAAAATTTAAGTATATGAATTTGATATTCATAATTATGAATATGTGGGGAAAAATAAAAAATAAATCTATTTATGGTTATGAAAATTTAATTGGGAAATTTTAAAATTTTGTTATCGGAAATTATTATAATTTACGTCGTAAAATTTATCGTTAAGGGGAGAAAAATGAAAATGCCCTAGTTGGTTTAACGTAATTATACGATGATGTATTTTATCCTCGTATATATATATTTGATTGTATTTCTTGATATATTTGGATAGAGCTCGACCCTACAAACGTAGGCGAAAACCATTTGTGAATTAGAGTTGAAATGAAGAAATTAGAGGTAAAAAACAAAAAAAGAGGAGAAGTTGGGAAGCTGCCAGATGGCAACGTGAGAGTGGAGGAAATGAGAGTTGTGAGAAAGAACAAGGAAGGGGGACCAAGCAGGAGAAGAGGAAGGGAGGGGAAATGAGAGAATGGGGAATGAGGGGAACTAGACCCCTATTCGACCCGTTACCTTTTTGTGACTCGACTTGACGGAAACAAGGGTTTCCGATACACTTTCAGGCCAAATTGGTGCAAATTATCACTTGGAAACAAATCCCTGACCTTCCCTCTTCCATTTTCACCCAAAAATCGATGGAAATAGGCCTTGATTTGGGTAAACGGCACCGAAAGGTTTCGTGGGTGCACGGCGGCGATCGATCGATTTCGAAAGCCTCACCATCGACCACCACCATGGTTTAACTTCTTTTGAGCTCAGGAACAAAGCCCAAACAAGTTTGGGAGCGTCAGAGTTCGTTTTGAGGTTGAATCGAGCATACCCATTTCAAGGGTTTCAGGTGGATCGAGGCTGGTTTCAGGTGTTTCTCGACTGAATTGGTCTTCGGCCCAGGTATGAAAGTTGCTTCCCTTGCCTTGTTCTATATTTCTGTAAAATTTGGTAATTTTTGGAAATAGTTGAATTTTTCGGCGAGTCGTGGCGGTCGGTCGCCATGTGCAGCGGCGATGGCGCGTGGATCGAGACCCCCACTTGACCTTCATAAGCTAAATTGGATGCCCTGATTCCATATGTGACATCTAATTGATGGAATTCCTTTGTTTGGGTATAATTTCGTTAAGGTCCGACACTTGAATATTATAACAATTGACGATCTGACCGTTGGATTGTCATTGAACTTTAATACGTTATAGTATGGAATATTTGAGAACATTAGAAACTTATGAATGGAGAAACCAACGTATGGATCTTCTCAAATTGGATTTGTAAGTTCGTAAAATAAAAAGTCGACCGCC